TAGGTGCTTTAGACCACTGAGCCATCTCGCCAGCCCCTCTGCTATTACTTCTGCCCATATTCTTTTTATATCATTTGTATTGATTCCTTCCTTCTCATTGATGCCTATTAGCCTCACATTGTTCATCTTTGCATCGTCTTGCTGGTATTGAATTATTTTTTCCTGCATCCTAGTTGTTTTTACCCTTTTCTTTTAAGACTGGATTTCACTAAGTCATCAAGATGAGGCTCAAACATGTGACCCTCCTGCCTCAACTTCCTGAACACTAAGATTACAACAGGTGCCACCATACCTGGCCATTTCACCATTCTTAGTGCTTTGAAGAGGGAATCCAGGGCCTTGCTCATGTCACTTCTGAGTCCCACAGACACAGAAATCTGGGTAGTACTTCTCACTAACCCCAAAGTCCTCAGGCCGGAGAGAAGTGTGCAGCCCTGTAGGCTAGGATACATCAGCATCCCCCTCAGGACCAGGTCCTTTTCAAAACTGCTTTTGCTTCTGATGTCCCATCATTCCTCATTCCACAGAAGAATGAACTGGAATCACATTGATTGCAGGGAATGCCCAAGTTAGGTATTCAGAGATGCGTTCATGGGGAAATAGTGGGACACTTATCAAGAAAGTCCCAGAGTGAAAAGTAGATCTTGGCCACCTCATCGGCCTTAGCAAAATGGTGACATCTGCCTTTATTCCAAGTTACTTGGGAGGCTGAGGCAGGAAGAGCATGAATTCAAGGCCAGCCTGTGCAACTTAGTGACTTAGTGAGACTGTCTCACAAAATTAAAAAAAGCACTGGAGATGTAGCTTAGTGTGAAGCTGAGTAGTTTCAATCTCTAGTAACACAAACACACATACTGATGACAGTGTCTGAACCTTTATTTTTTTAGTTCAATGAACCAAAGTCCTTGCATATGCTGGCCACACAGTCTATCTGAACTACAGTGTTAGCCACCACCTTTTACTCCTTTTAGACAGTAACATGCACTACTGGCACCCATGTAGTAAGGCCCACAATTCTGCATGGCTGGTGGGAACTACAGTGACAGGTTCTTTCTGGAAAGCAAGTAGGAGCCCTAAAATGTTCTGTCCTTGACTCAGTAATTCTATTGTTATGAAATTGAAAGAAAATACTTTAGAAATATGAACCAGGATTCCCATACAGAATACTCATTGCAGATTTTAAAGAAAGGAAAAATTGAACAGTTTAACTGTGGCTTGGATAACTGTGAAATATGATAGAATATTTACAGACATTAAAAAAGGACTTCTTTTGCAAGACACAAGAGTTTATGTTTGTAATCTGAGCACTTAGAAAGCTGATGGAGGAGAATTCCAAGTTCAGGGCCACCTGGGCTAGACAATGAGATTCTGTCTCAAAACAGAAAAGAATTTGTGACTGGGAAAAAAGAATTATATCCTTTTTGGGGCCGGCCAAATAGCTTAGTGGATGGGGGATTGTCCCCAGCTTGCCATGCCAGCCCCGCCCCCAGAGCGTGCTGAGACAGTGACTGAGACTGGGCGTGGCGGCACACACCTATAATCCAGAGTGTAGGAGGATAGGGCCTGGGAGATGGCTAAGTAGACTAAGCACTTGCCTGGCAAGCGCAAGGGCCTGAGTTCAGTCCCCAGTTCTGGGAAAAAAAACAAAACAAAAAACAGGAGGATCAGTATGAGTCCGATCCAGTAGTAAGACCCTGAACACCCTGTAGACCCTTCCCTAAAAATACAAAAAAAAAAAAAAGTTAAATGCGATGTTCCCTTCTCTTGATTGCAGTGTGTGCAGTGAAGCTCTTGCCTATTTCATCACGGTGAATTCTGAAAGCCATCGGGAGGCCTGGACAAGTCTCTTGTTGTTACTTCTAACCAAAACCCTCAAAATAAATGATGAAAAGGTATGAACAAGTAACCTGTGATGTCTCCTCTAGGATGTGAAGTTTGAGTGCCATTCACTCAACATTTGAAGCAGCTGTTTGGGGATTTCTCAAGGATGGTCACATACCTTGCACATTCTAGATGCATTGGAGAGAAGAGTTCACTACAGATAGCAGGTGCCTTCAGACTGTAGGCCTTTTTCCCTGGACCACCCACCGCCAGTCGAGGCTGAAGTAGAAGCCACATGGGTGGGTGCTGGGATCAGCAGAGATTTTCAGTGTGGGAGGAGAGGCCTGAGATTGTGCAGTGCTGCTTTACACCTACAACTTGCTGTTGACTTGGAAGCAAGAGTTTCCTAATATAATTAAAATAAATTAAAAGTAATTGAAACAGGTTTTTTTGTTTTGGAGTTTTGTTTTTGTTTTTTTTTGTGTGTGTGTGTGTGTGGTACTGGGGATCAAACTCAGGACCTTGCACTTGCCAGGGAGGTGCTTATGCTGCTAAGCTATCTTCCCAACCCTGAAACAAGTTTTAATGTGAAAGTTTTGGTTTTTTTGTCTTTTTAATTTATATTTTGGCTTGAGACAGGTTCTTACTATGCAGTTCAGGGTGGCCTTGAGCTCATTTTGTAGCCCAGGCTGGTCTCAAACTCACAAAAATCCTCCTGCCTCAGCCTCCCAGGTGCTGGGATTAGAGGGATGCATCACCACACCCAGCTATGGAAGTTTTTTGATAGAGTGTTTAGTAGTAAGAAAAAGTACCAGCATAGTATGAGAAGTTTCAGAGTAAGGTGAATACTTTTGAGAAACTGTTGCAAAAATATAGTTTCATGTCTAATTGTATCTTTCTATTTCTCTCCTACCTCAAGTTCAAAGCACATGCCTCAATGTACTACCCCTACTTGTGTGAAATTATGCAGTTTGACCTGATCCCTGAGCTCCGAGCAGTTCTACGCAAGTTCTTCTTACGGATAGGTGTTGTATATAAGATATGGATTCCAGAAGAGCCCACACAGGTACCAGCAACACTGTCACCAGCGTAGTAGCCTCAGAGGCACTGCTGTGGCCCTACAGAACATTCATCATGCCATTTTTGACTGCCCCATTCACTTTACAGAAGCAAGGAGCTGCCTTTTAGGATCTCAGAATGTCCTAGATAAGGTCAGTCTCTGCGCTGGCCCCATGAAACATCCCGACAACTGAGGCTTGTGGTATTTCATTAAACTGTTGCATACCCAGCTGATACAGGCGGGGAATCTGTTTCACTGTCATTCCATTTTATTGATTCAACTGTCCAATCTGTCATTGCAAATGCCATCATTTCTTAGCAAAATCCCATGATTGGCTGTAAATGTTTTGTCAGAGGAAGTCACTCCTTGAAAATACTGAACATAGATGTATAGGTTCATGATTATTAGAGTATGTTAATAAAATTTCTTGTAACGGCTGCCATCTAAAGTATGCCAGGTATTTGTTGTTGAGTGTGTTGAAGAAATTTGAGTGTTTTGTCTATTATGAGTCAGCCATAGTTAGATTAGTTTGGAGAAAGAGAAAAGATCGTTTTTATGTTTTGTTTTATTAACGTCTGAGTGATTTTTAAAAAAGTATTTTACAAAAAGATATTATTGAAGATTTAATTGAAAGCAGAATTTAGTAATTAAGTGTTAAGAGCTTACAAGGTTTAAAAAATGTAGTGCCTCATGGCACTCCCTGTTTTAGTAACCTGGGAAGAAGTCTATAGGAAAAAGTAAACAATTTCATCAAGACGATTAGCTTTCTTTAAAGTATTTATGGATGGGTGTTCGATTAAAATTTCCAGAAAAATTATCCATCTCACACTCTGAAATATAATATATGAAGTAATAATGAAGTAGTAATTACCTGGAGTTCATTTATCTTTGAGTAAACCATTTTATTTTTACCTCAGAAGAATGAGTGTACTGATAGTGTCGCTGCTTTGCACAGTCCCCATTAAAGGGACCTCCAGAGGGAGGGACAGTAACTTCATGAGAAGGGTTGCTCCCAAGGTCACCTCACCAAGTATCATGATAGAATAGAGCCACCGTGGGGCCAGCACAGCTGAACTGTGACAATAACAGGAGGTGACAGGTACTCAGCACTATTGTTATTTGAACCATGGAGCTCAATTCTCTGTCAAGACAGATCCTGGGGTCCTTAGGATGTTCCTGGTGGTGCAATAGAGGCATTCTCATGCAGCTCATGGCAAAGCAGGCAGTATATGAGTACAGCAATATATTTGAAAGTTAATTTATTGAGTCCATGAGAAAGAGAACACACACTTCATGCTTGGACCTCATCCACTGCTCAGCTAGGGCAGCACCAAGTGTTAAAAAAAAAAAAAAAAAAAAAAAGTGTCACACAGAGTGATGTAAACATTCAAACTTCTACCTACACTCTAGTCCTGTAAATTGGGTTGTGTTGATGTCAACTCTGGTGCCTTAGAAGTCAGTAGTTTGGGAATCTGTAAAATCTGATATTTTTTCTTTCTGGAGAAGGCTTTCTGGTGCTTCTGCTTATTACTAAGAGACTTAATTTCTTAAGGGTTTTTTTTTGTTGTTGTTGTAATTGTTAACAGTCTTGAGAAATGTTTGATTTGGGTCAGCAGTACGCTTATCTACTTTTTTTGTTGCCCAAAAGTGTTTTAATTTCTCTACCAAAGAAAATCAGGTTTAGGTTTTTAGTTTATTTGCATACACTATATAAGAGGAGCTATGTCATTTATCAGGAAAGGACCCTGGGAGAATGCTTTGCCGTGAATGGAATGTAGACATTTGATTGACTTGTCCTGGAATTGGTTACATCTTTATGCTGCACCCTAAAACCTACACCTAAGGCCTGCCCTGGCATTGTCTTCTGTCACTGCCCTAACAAGCCCGTCATCCTCACTGCAATCTTTTTACCAAGTTTTAGTGGGGAGCAGGCATGTTGGCTTGTTGAGTGCATCCTGCATGCAGCTGCACCCTGGGTTGGTGATCTTGCCTTTCTCTCTGATGTTTTCATGCAGCATTGCTCATCAAAACTTGCCAGTGTCAGGGCTGAGGATTTGCCTCAGCGGTGGAATGCTTGTCTAGCAACTGGAAGCCCTGGGTTCAGTCCTTGGCACCAAAACAAAAAATAAACCTCCCCTAAAAAAAAAAAAGTAAACTTTCTAGTATCCTCCAGCCTTCTAATTTTTGCCTGTTGCAGGATAGGAAGTGTGTCAGTACATTTTATTGCTTGCTGAAACAGGCTTAAATTTCTTAATTTTGTCTTTTAAAAGATTTAATTTTGGGGCTGGAGAGATGGCTCAGTGGTCTAAGGCACCTACTTGGAACAAGCTTGATAAAGCACATGGACCGCGGTTCGATTCCCCCAGCACCACATGCCAGCCAGCTGCGCCCCCTGGTGGGCTGAGCTGGCCACACACACCCCAAAATAAATGTTAATAA